TATTAGTGCAACAAGAACACGGGCAGTAACTGACTCAGCCAGTCAATCACCCCATTACCAGTGTCAGCCTGGGGGAGGGAGTATTCAGGGAATATATTTACACACACAAGCAAACGGATACAGATTGCATGCTGGATACGTGCAGAGTTCATTTTTCATAGTGAAAAGGGCCTTTCCGGAAAGATTTATAACCCGAGTGGATCTGTTGAAATTGGAAATTAGCCGTTTTAATTGTCAGGCGGACAAGAACAAGATCCCAGCGGCTGGCGCCCCAGCGATTTTTCATTCTCTGCCATTGGGCCGAGATGATATAAATCACTCTGCGGAGGCCTAATCATCTTTCTATAAATATCAGGGAAATTCCGGTTTGGCTGGGAGAAGAAATGAAAGACGAGATCCTTTGCCTTTACAGCAGTGTTTAAAATGTGATTCCGGATTAATTTCCTTTCGCCTTTCACAGGCGGACGCCTTATTTGTCAAAGCTAAAGATGTTTGAAGAGTGGAGTGCTTTCCCCCACCCCCGTTTGTCTAAGTACCTGCCAGAGTGATGGAAGACAGGTCCGGAAAACGGATCATGGCCAAAGCATTCCTGAGCCTGTCAGTACCAGGGGATGGGAGGCTGGAGCCACGGAGCTGGGGACCGATGAACCCCAAACCCAGATGTGGGATGAGGCAGATGGGCACCCAGCATGCTACTTCATACGTACCATTCCCTCCTACCCTCCGCATTCACCTTTTGGGGTCCCTTTAGCCTGGGCCTCCGCCCAGACTTGGCCTCTGTCTCTGAGGTCATTCATGTTAATCTGGCCTGTTTGCTGCGGGCACCTCTGTGCACTGCTGACAGCCGCCAAGACCCACATCTGCCCTCTCATTGGAGGGAATCACCGAATGCCTCTTGCTGCTGCATACCTGCCCTGCCCCCCTGAAGTCAATGGGAGCTTTACCACGGCCGGCAGCGGGGGCCTGGTCCACGCCAGCAGGGTGCTATGTTCTTCCCCTCCCGCAGGACCCTGAGGCTGCAGCTCCCGCTCTCCCCGGGTTCGTCCCTGGGGAGGGAGCCGGTTTTTACTGTCCCACCCCACTTCCCCTTTGTGTTGAAAATAATTCAGAGCCTCAGCTGACACCAGCAGGGTGTTGGGCAAGAGCCGGAGGTGAGGCCTGCAGCCTCCAGCCCCAGTCCCTGCGGCAGAGGAAAACCAATTCTGCCAGCGTCTCGCGGACTGGGTTCCTCCAGCAGGGCGAGGTGATCTGGTCACTCCCCTCCATGGCGCCCCACCTGCCACTTCGAGGCTGAGCACTGCTCCCCCCCTGCCCCTGCGCTACCGCCATCCTCCCTTGTCGTTGTCCCCCTCCCCCCCGCCCCTTCCACTCCGCCAGTGCTCCAGCCAGGCTCCCTCTCCGGCCCATCACACATGCTACCACCACTCTGGGCTGGTCCGCCAGCCCTTCCTCGTTATCCCTCTGCAACAGGGGCGTTTGTACAGTGGGGGGCTGAGAGTCATTGAATGAAACTGTAAACCCTGCATGTGATGGAAACCACTTTAAACCAGGGGGTGCGGCAGCACCCCTAGCCCCCCTAGTTCCAGCCCCCCTGCTCTGTAGTGTGCCGCCGCCAGAGAATCCAGCCAACTGTGTATACATTGCATCCAATTGGCCTATTCTTACTCCCATTCCCTTTCCTCAAACGTCTGTCGTTAGATTGTGGGTTTCTCTGAGCATCGCACGTCGGTGTTTGGAAGTGCCCAGCATGCAGTGGGCGCTGCCGCGAATACCAATTAACATTCATGATGATGATGGGTCAGCTCCTAAGAGAGAAACGTCCAACAGCAGAACTTCCTCTGGCGAGCAGGGTCGGGATGGAATCCGGGCCCTGGACGGTGGTAGTGGAAGAGCACAACTGAGCGGTGGCCAGAAGCACTGAATTCTGTTCCTTTGGTATGTTCAGACTCTGAGGGCTTCAATGGAGTTGGCCCAGCAGAGAGCTTGGCCCAGGGTTTTTTGAATCCCCATGTGTAATGTATTTCAGCAACATGTTCATTACGATTCAGTAGTGCCCTGGCTAAAGCGTGTCAGCCTGCTCCAGGCAGCCAAGAGCGACTAGTCAGAGCAAACCGCTCACAGGCTGAACAGAATCCGCCCACGACGTTTAGCGAATAAAAACGACATCGGGATCATTCTGGTTTTGTATACAACTCTGCCGCACAGACCAAACACAGACACTCCCTGCTTGGAAGAACTTAATGGGCTCACGACGGATTTGCTACTGGGAAAGGGGGAAGCTTTTCCTAAAGAACAGCTCCTCCAGCTCTGCGCCGGCAGAGACAGCCCGGGGTAGGAGAAGTGGAGAGTGCTCTCAATTCCTATTCATGAGAGCAGCTTGCAAGAAAGAGATTCCCGTTCCCTTTGAGCTCTCCAGGGGGCGCGAAGGGCGCCATAAAGGCAGTGCAGAACTAATACCTGGCTCTGACATCTATAGATGTGACAGGTTTATAACCTTGGCACACGAAGCTAGAAGCCGCCTCAGCTCTAATTATCAGTGTTCCGAGGCCCAGTCTACACCTAACACGTAGATTCACACCCCTGCGGGATGTAGTACAACAGATCTAAGCCCTGGTGTGGACACTCCTCGGTCAATGGAAGAATTCTGCCATCAGCCCAGCTGCAGCCTCTTGTGGGGATGGATTCCCACCACCCCAGAAAGCCCCCTTCCGTAGCTGCAGTTCCAGGTTGCACCCCAGGGATCCCTCCCAGCTGTATCTACTCACACATAGCATACGTGTTGCAGCTCACCACACAGCCCTGCAGGGTACATGGCAGACACAAGAGGCCAGAGGAGGCAAGGAACTTTGGACACAATCACAGCATTCCTCTAGGATTGCTGCAGGAAGCATGGGCCAGCCACTACTCGGGCTCAGCTGTGGAGAGCCACCAGGCAGCTGCAGGAGAAGAGCAGCCCACAGCACCACAGATTTAGGGGGAAAGGGAGGCTCTAATGACGCTAATCTCTTTGCTCTGCCAAGATAAATAAAGATTTGTTACGGCTATTGCCTGGCAGAGGTCTGTCTGAGGGCCCGGGCACCTGGGGTGGAGGATCTGACACTGGGTCTGCACAATGGACTTCCGAGAAGAACAGCAGGGTTAGTTACAAGTTACCTAGCCGAAGGTGACCTTCTGCCCCTTTACACACGCTGTAGCACCAGAAATCCTTCACTAGCTGCAATAACTCCCCCGAGACACCCGAGAAAGGGTTAAGCCAACGATCGCATGTATCCCAGGCTCACAAAAAAACCCTTCAAAACCAGACTCCAACGAGAAACTGCAGAACTGGAATCAATTTGCAAACTGGACACCATCAAATTAGGCCTGAATAAAGACTGGGAGTGGCTGGGTCACTACAAAAACTAATTCCCCCCTCCTGATACTCACCCCTTCTTGTCAACTGTTTGAAATGGGCCACCTTGATTACGTTGGCCTCATTAGCACTACAAACGTGATTTTTCCTCCCTTGGTATTCACCCCTTCTTGTCAACTGTTGAGAATAGCCCACTTCCACCTTAATTGAATTGGCCTCGTTATCACTGACCCCCCACTTGGTAAGGCAACGCCCATCTTTTCATGTGCTATGTATATATACACCTGCTACTGTATTTTCCACTCCATGCATCTGATGCAGTGGGTTTTAGCCCACGAAAGCTTGTGCCCAAATAAATGTGTCAGTCTCTAAGGTGCCACAAGGACTCCTCGTTGTTTTTACTAAAATCAAAGACACGAGGAGAGGAGGAATTTAAGAAATTAGCTCTTATTCTTCCTGTTCTCCCACCTCCGCAGAACTCTGGACTCCCCGGGACAGATAATGGTCCCACCAGAGCCTGGGTCTTTTCCAATGTGACTTTGAAAGTTCTAACCTTGCGTCAAGTCTTGTAAGATGAACGACACCACTTGCCTGGCCCCTAAATTCAAACAAAGCCCGGTGTCCCTGTTTGCAGAGTCGAAGCTCTGCTCCTCTAAAAACCTCGCATGAAGAAACCAAAAGCAAACAAATCTGCAGAGAGGGGCCTCCCGGGGAGCCCAGCGCATGGAGTTCTGTACACACGAAGCACCATGCCAGCCGCACAGCCGGCTAGGAGAGCTCCTTATCACAGTTTATACAGTTGGCAGCATGAACCCCTTCTGGGGGCGGGGGGCTCTTAGGGAAGTCTCCTCTACACCCCTGGGGGCTGCAGGGGCAGCTCTGGTTGGTGATGGGATTAAGGGGATAACCTTGTTTTATACATCTCAGTGTCTCTCTTTTGTTCGCTTTGCTGTCAACTCCCTGCCAAAGAGAAGCGAGAGACGCAGCGTGTAGGTGTGCGCGGGGCTCTTCTCTCTGGCCATGAGCTGCTACCAGCGAGTGCACAGAGCAGTTCTCAGCTGCTGGAGGGACAAGTTGTAGCTTTCTACAAAGCAGGTTTCCTTGCCTGGGTCACCAATAACACTGATGGGGATAACCCCCCCCCGGCTTTCCGACCCGCTCACACGCTCAGCCGTTCACACTGCTGGTTCGCCTCAGCTCGGAGAGGAAAACAGACCAGGACGTTTCCCTTCCATTTGGTTAGTTTCCAGCTAATGTCACTGTCGGGTTCCTGTGCCCTGGCACAGTGCTGCAATGTCTGGATTGCAAAGGCTGCAGGGTAGGGTGACCAGATGTCCTGATTTTATAGGGACAGTCCTGATATCTGAGGGTGTTTCTTATATAGGCTCCTATTACCCTCCACCCCCCGTCCCGATTTTTCACATTTGCTGTCTGGTCACCCTACTGCAGGGGAATGTCAACTTGTTAATAAAAGACCAAATAAAATAAATAAAATCCCCCCCTTACCCACTGGAATTTACAAGAATGTTCACGGGACCATTTCTGCTGTGAGAGCTCATTGTGCAACCCCTATATGGTAGGGCCCATTCTGATCTGTTGGTGTCTTGGCCCCCTTTAAGAGCTAATTCGGAGGTAAAGAGCGACTTACCCACACAGGAATCCCTCTGCTCTTGGTAGCCGGCGCTGCACACACATTTCCCAATGGGTACCAGCCATTCCCCCTCCGCACTGCAGTACATTTTAGGGGTGTCTCTCTCCTCAGAGTGCCTCACACACTCGCCCCGCACCTCCACCAAGGAGGAGGAGTCCGCCCCGGTCACCACCTTGGAGAAGGACGCCAGGTTCCTGACCATCGCGGGGCACTTCTTGTAGTATACCCGGACGGACACGATGGCAATGCAGGCCCCGATGTCCTGGAAAGCCAGGTAAAAGCCCCGCTTGCTCAGGGGTCCCACGCCCCGCACCTCGGTGTTGAGCTTGAGCCGCCTGACCCCCAGGTCTACGCTGGTGAAGCTCTCGTCGGCTGCTATGGTATCGATCTTCACAAACTGGCTCTCCCGGGTGCTGGTGCCCAGGTCCCGGTCAGACTCCAGGTAGTAGAGGTTGAACGTCTCCTTGCAGGTGCCCAGCACCCCTGGCATACTGTTACAGTCCCGCAGGGTGAACTTGATCTCAGCATAAACCCGACGGGCACCGTCCCGTTGGACCCAATTGCTGCGCAGCCAGTTGTTCTGGTTCGGGGTCATGACATTACAGACCTGGTAGGTGTGGATAGGGCTGAAAAATTCATCCATTTCGTTGATGGAATCCCACTGCGGGACAGAGGAGGAGAGGTTAGTACGAACACGCACCTCAGCCATTCACTGATATCAGCCCTCAGACGGCGGCAGAGGTGTGAGTGTGAACATGTACTTCATCCCCCCTCAACAGAACGGTCAGAACGGCAGCTGGATGAATTATCTGTTGTGAATAAAGCTGATTATGAATTTAGGGGGGAACTTTGTGGGTCCATGGGATTTAGGTGCACAAGCCCCATTTAAGGCCACTGGGATTTGTGCTCCTAAATCCCTTGAGTGCTTCTGACAAATCCCCCTTTCCTTGAGCCTTTTTGCTGTTTGCAAACTGTTGGCGAACCCACCCTGATTTCCATGGGCATGTTCCCTGTTTGTGAGGATTGGCCAGAGTTCCTGGGAGCAGATCTCAGGTTCTGGGAAGCTCACAAACTGTCCACTGCAGCTGGACACGGTTATTAACGGCGTGTGTTTAGTCCCTTCAGTCCCAGCTTCTGCTCCCTGACTGAATGACAAACATTTTAAAGAGGTGACTGTTGAATGACAAACAACAAAGAGCAAAAAATGAGCAACGCACGAGCTACCTTTCCTGCAGAGTACTGTGACATCAGGACTGGAAAGTGCATTCTTGCATCGATTAGCCAAGCTCTTCTCCCTGCCAACACACCCGTCCCAGCTTCCTTCCTGTCCCTGGCACCGGGAGCTGGCACATGTGGCCTCTGGCCAATCTCCGACCCTGTCTTTTCTCCTCCCTAACGAGAGCACATTGCAGATTGCTCTTTTTGGAGGGGGTTCCAGAAGTCAGCCAGAGCCAGCAGAAGGGGCCAGGTCCTGGTATAAAACAAAGGTTTGGGCTCCAAGAAATCTGTAGTAATAATCCCTGCTCAAGCCTCCCTCTCTGAGACTTGTTTGCTGTGCCTAGTAGAGGCCCTAGACTGAGGGGCAGCACAAGATGTCCTGCTGGCATTTAGCAAACACTACGGCTGCAATGTGACAGCCTCACCGGAGAGGTGCCTTGGGGCTCTCCCGTATCTTCCTTGCACACTGCTCCTTGGGTGGCTTCCCCGACCAGTCATCCCCCAGACTCAGCCATCAGCACTGCTCTGAATACAGCTGACGAGAGCTTCACCGGCTAGACCTGGGGGACAGGCGGCTCAAGCTCAACACCGAGGTGTGGGGCACAGGACCCCTAAGCAAGAGGAGCTTTTATCTGGCTTTCCAGGACATAGGGGCCTGGTCCAGGGCTCCTCCAAACTTACCAGGTCTCCTGCTTTGCCACCTCCCTCTTGTCCTCCTCCCCTCTCTCTCCTTCCACCCAGACTAGCCCCATTCTTCTGCCTTCCCTGGTCCTGAGCCCTAGTCTCTCTCCCCAGCCCAGGGACGTCCCAGCGCATGCCACCGTGCCACCCAAGCGGAAGCCCCACAGGGGGCAGCAGTGGGGCCCAGCCAATGGGCTGAAGGCCCCAATCCCCCAAAGGCAGGGATCCCGTGTGTCTGTGTGGGGAAGGGTGGGAGGGCAGGAGGGAGCCAGAAAAGGGCTCAGACCCTGCTGGGAGAGGGCTGGAGCTTTGGAATGATGCCACCCCTGCCCCGGACACTGTACTTGCCCTTCGCATGACCCACCAGAGCGTGACATGCAGCGTGACACTGGGGGCAGGCCCCGGGCTCAGCCGTGGCCTTTGCTCACGCCTTGCCTGCTACGGGAGGCCTGGACTCTGTCAGGACACTGGGGCGTCTGGCAGATCTGCCCAAGTGCCACGGACACATGGGACTGGGGCTGTAGGTGGGAGTCTGGCGCTTGGTTATTCCTGCTGGCATGCGCCCTTGCTTTGTGCCCAGCTACGGAGCACGATCTGCCGACGCTGCCCTACCATGGCCAATCACAGCCGCGACGCAGAGCAGGAAAACCAATCTTGTCAGGAGCTCTGCAAGAACCCAGAAATAAACCCACAGCTCTGCTCTAACCGGACACAAACCTGGTTTCCCATTCCAGTGATGAATCACAGCTCATTACGGACACAACACCAACAACAGCTGAGAGAGAGCATGGACCTCATTCCACTGTGCTTCCACCAGGGTAATCCCACTGATTTCACACCCGCACTGCAAACATGAGGGAGTGGCAGGCCAACGGATCACACAGTGTTATGCTGCTTGCCAGGGAACCCCTCCACACACCTCATCCTGCATTGCTCACGTAGGGACATGCTGCACAAGGGCTAGGAATGACCCCTGGGCTTTACTACTACAACACTCCCCCACCCCGTGTTTCAGCAGCGGTGTTTGAACCCAGGACCTTCAGATCCAGAGCAGAGACCTCGGCTACTAAAGTCCAAGGAGTACTAGAGTAGCAGTAGTAGTAGGCTGTTATCCTGTATGTGGAGGAGCCGCTAGTGGGCAATATGACACACATGGTGCAAGCACGTTTCACTAGCAAAGATTTTTCATATCTGAACCAAGCCCTTAGAAATGTCACTTGTGTTTCAGAATCCAACCCCTGAATCCACGTGCGCCTCTCCCTGCCCGCAAGGCCTCTGCCACCAACCCACTTCAGCTCAAGGTCTTTCCTTTAAACCAGACACCAAGCCCATCGAAATGGCCCGGTCGCCCCCAGATGCTGGAAGCAGCCGCAGGGGCCCTGCTTTCCCAGGCTGCAGGACATGCTGGTCCCTGGAAGTGCGGAGCCACTTAGAGCTGAGAACTCTTGGCTTGGCTCTGCCAAACCCCATAATATGCTGTCTAGCCCTGCTGACCACAGGCCCATTGGCTCCTGTCGCACTGGCTCCTTCTGCAGTGCATCCGTGAGCACATGGTTAGCAGGGAAGAAATGACATTGGGATAGTTTCGTGGATTTGAAACAATGAGCCCATAGTTCTCGCTTCCTCCTGCCTCTAACTCCAGCAAAAACAAACCTCCTTTCTGGCAGAAATTTTGTATCTCTAGTCTCCTGCTAGAGGGGAATCTCTTTGCATCTTACAAGGTTGAAGGTGGATGGGACCTGCCATTTAGGAGACCTGCAACTTCCAAAATGCACTCACTTCTGGAAAAGTCTCCTAACTTTCTATTGCTGTCCCAGAGCTCAGACCTGCCTGGAAAAGAGAGGAACTCCCCGTGTGTTGCATTCATTAGGCCTCAAGGAAAATGAGTTCAAAGGGGATATTGAAATATGCTGGTGCATAATTGAAAAGTTAGTCACTCGCTCTGGAAAAATGAACTTCTGCTTACTATAAAAATCATCTCCAAAATTAGACAGCTGCATTGAGGCATCTTGTGCATCCACTCCACAGACACCACGTGACAGGCATGTTAGCAATATGCCCAGGATGGCATTCAGAAAGGCCATGCGTCAGCTCGGTAGGACTGTGCAGGACCAGAGAGAATGGGTATGTCTACCCAGCAGTTTATGGTGTGATTGTAAAACAGGGAGCCATACCCTGCTAGCTTTCATCTACCTACCTAGGTAACCAGGTAGCAGTGAAGAGGTGCAGGCTAGCTGCCCCCGTACAAGCTCATCAGCTTGCTAGCCTGTGCAGGGTCCATGCCAGCGCAACTTCACTGCTATTGTTACCCAGGCTAGATTAACGCTAGCTCTGGTACGCCTACCTCAACGTACCCAGTGGGCGCAGGACCCCTGCCTCTGGCTACCCCGAATTGTAGGGATTCCATCTTCAGCACATTTGGGGACTTGGAGTGAAATGTAACAAACGAACATCTGACAGCTGAGCAGCCTGGCTTTGTCTTCACGGCAGGGTTCACTTGAGTTATCTGCATTCAGGTTAACCCCCCTCGAGTTAGCCCAGCTCCAGTGGGAGTGGACACACTGCAAAACAACACTGGAGCTGCACAGAGCGATTGGGTCAGCAGCCAATGAGCATTAGCCTGCGCCCCCAGCCAGGGCAGCCAACTTTTCTACCCTGCACCACAGGGAATTGCAGAGCGCACCAAAGTGGTGCAGTCTAGCTGCCCCGTGTGGACACTGCTGCATGAACGAAAAAGGACCTAGCTCCGTTAACACAGTCCTGTTCGCTAAGGTGAACTAGGGACCTTTTAGTTTGTGCCAGCAGCATCCACACAGGACGGTTCGGGTGCAACGCTCTGGTGCGCGTGGCAGTTCACATCCCCCGTGGGCCGTACTGTGGCACAGCGTAAACAGCCTCAAAGGTGCAACACGCTCAAGTGAAGGGTCTGTGTGTGGACGGGAGACGGGACAGGGCCGACACTCAAGTTAATTCTGCAGTGAAGACAAGGCCTCAGCAGGTTGTAACTAGAGCTAGCTGGAAATCCCCAATCTCCTCTCTGGCCTTTTGCCCCAGGCACCACGTCCGCTTCCCATTGATCGATGGCTCACAGAGACAAAGCGACAAACCCAGCCCATGATTACAGCCCCTCCTCCATCATCCTGGTCCAGAACTCTGATGGCCTCATTCACTGATGCAATAGCTCCCAAGCCAATGCTCCAGACTGGCCAGTCGAACTTCTCCACATCCGCCATGAACACATGGAAAACAGCCCCCGAACCGCGCACCTAGGGAGGCCCCTTCCCAATACGTTGGGGAAGAGTGAGGGGTCGTGTCACTGCACCAGACCAGGCTGTTGTCATTCACACAAACAGAAACGCGTCAATGTGGGGTTCTCTCTCTGGGGTGGGGAAAGGGCTGAGTTAAGGTTGGTAAGTGAACGTTTCCAGCCTCTGTTTGCCCCAACCCTGCCAGCCCTGTCCTACCAAAGCAATACAAAGAATCAGCAAACCCAGTGGGCCCAAGGTGGAGCTGAGGTGACAGGAGCCAGGACATACACCATGGAGTGATTCCAGGCACGGCGTACAGGCCAGCACAGCACTGGAGAGTGCGGCATGCTACGCTATAGCACAACACAACACAGCACTGGAGGGTGTGGCACATCACACTGCAAAACAGCACAATACAACACAGCACTGGAGACTGTGACACATCACACTACAACACAACACAGCACTGGAGAGTGCGGCATGTTACACTATAGCACAACACAACACAGCACTG